TAGTCTTTCCCGTTCTTGTGTAGCTCAGCTGATGCTCGAGCCAACACCTCATCAACTCGACGATCCAGCACATCTCCTGCTTCAGATGCTGCCGACGATTTCGACGACGGTCGTTGCAGACCACTTTCCACAGCCTGTAGGTCACCGTCGTCGGCAATGAACATCTCCTCATTGGTAGAGTAACAGTCGATGATAGCAGTTGAGAGATCGATATCAGCAGCCATGGCATCAGTAGATCTACTCTCAAACATCTTCTGAAGAGCTATTCGCTCCTCCTTAGTGTCTTGGGGAAAGTCAAGAGTAGCTCCTAGAAGTCGTAGACCACGCCGCCCTATCAGTGGTTGTGCCAGCTTCTCCACGATGAGGAAAGGAAGGTAGGCAGGCTTGCCATCAATGCATACGTTGGCGAGGATCTCGCCACAGGACGGTTCCACCCTAGCATCTGCATAACGGATGGACACTGACGACTGGCCCCTGATCTTTACTGCGGCTCCTCTCTCAATCATACGCTCCGAGTTTTCACGATCGATCAGCGAAGCTGCTGACCCGCTGTCGAGTAGCATTGTCATCTTCTCACCACCCTATTCAAATGAAAGAGTGGGGAGATCATCGTTCTTCCCAACTGCAACCGAACTCCACCCGGCCGTCGCTTCACAGCATTCCACTGCATAAGAGCTCGTTGTCACACGTACGCTTGCGTTCGGCCTCTCGTTCTCCTCGGAGGCTACCTGTGCCTCTTTTGAAGGCTCCATCGGTACTTTCCGATCACTGACCTCAGTACTGGCCTGCTGAACATCGATTGCCGCCTGCGTAGTTTTCAGCAATGGACACTGGGCTTTTCGATGCCCCGACTTCTTGCAGTGAAAGCACTTTCCCGAGAGATTACGATTCGGACACTGTGAGGCTCGATGGCCAAACTCTTGGCAAAAGAAACACTTCCCTCGAAACTCAGCTCGTCCCTTTCCGGCATTCGAGCGCCCCCTAGTCGTATCATTCCCTCCTTCAGTTTCGAGACACCACCATCCTCAGATGCTTCCATCCC